TATGAAAGAGAATATATATATATATATTTGCCTTTAACACGGTAGAATTAAAACAACAATCTATAACATTTTTGAGAGCCAAAATTTGAAATGTGAATTGCATCAAAATCATTTTGAAATTCATTCTTAGTAGAGTCTGTATTTAATTAGGATAAAATGGGCCAGAGAATTAATTTTCCACTCAGGTTCTTCGCCATATGGTTTTGATGAAGATGTTTACTTGCAGCTAAGTTAACAGTTTAGAATCTAAAGGGAAGTTCTAGCCTTCAACCGAGTGTTTCTGGCATGTGCATTTTCTAAACCTGCTCCCGCATACCGTTCTTATCAATTAAAAAGTGGCACTAAGGGAAGCTCATGGTAGTTAAGAACACCAGCTGCTCTTCCAGAGGACACAGTTCAGTTCCCAGCACCGCATGGTCTCCCACAACTGTCTAAAACTCCAGTCCCAGGGGAACCAACACCCTTTGCTGGTCTCTGTGGGCACCAGACACTTCTTTGGTACACAGACATGCGTACAGGCAACTCCCTCATACATATAAAATAAATACATAACTTAAGAAAAATAACACTAACAATTTTTAAAATTGGACTGAGTGCAAATGTGCATATGTACACATTCATTTGCAAATTACATATGTTTACCTACTTGTAATTTATTTTATATACTCTATACACTAATATGAATGAGTGAAATTTATGCCCTGGCAGTGCTGACGCATGCATAGGCAGCCCGTATATGATGGTTCTGTTGAACTTGTCCATACTGGTTTTCATGGTCTAAGAATGACTGAAAAGGTCCCTTCCTCAAGAGGGCACCATATTACAGATGGTTGTGAGCCACCATGCGGTTGCTGGGAATTGAACTCAGGACCTTTGGAAGAGCAGGCAGTGCTCTTAACCGCTGAGCTATTTATTTTTATTTTTTTGAGACAGGGTTTCTCTTTGTAACAGCTCTGACTTCCTGAAACTCATGCTATAGACCAGGCTGGCTTCGAACTCACAGAGATCCACCTGCCTGTACCCCCCAAGGGCTGGGATTAAAGGCATGCACCACCACCACCCAACTAAGAAACTTTTAATTATAAGAATAAGCAATGTTGATAAAAATTAAGTTGTATATACTAACATAACAGTAAAAGTTCAATTTAAAATAATAAATAATCAGCCTTTAATATGCTTTTTAAAGTAACACTTTAATCATTTAGGCTGATTTCAAATTCATTTCAGTGTCATCTAGTAACTAGTAATTATATGATATTGTCGAAACCTGCTGGTAACTTTTTTTTTTTTTACATTTAGTACTTGCAAACTGTTAGTATATTCTGGTACTCATATAATTTTTGTCATCCTTGTTTAGTCTTTTGAGGCAGGTTTCTGTCTGCAGCACCAGATGGCCTGGAACTCATTATATAACTCAGGCTAGCCTCAAACTCCCAGCGGTCTCTCTGCCACGCCCTCCTGAGTACTAGGTTTGCAGACATGCACCACTATGCCCAAGGATTCCATGCAATTGTTAAGGCTTGAAATACTGATATTGTTGGTATAATACTTTGAATTCAGTCAGTATGTAGCCCCCCAGACTCTCCTTTTTACTCACCTGTGTTCCCCTTCATTCCTATCTCCCTTTGTTCATTTTAATCTCTAAATTCAAACATCTCTCTGTGCTCTAAATGTAGAAACTAGCCCCCCCCCCACACGCATTGATATGGAGAGAGCCCTCAAAAGATGGCATATCTTTCTGTGGAGGAAGAGTTAGTGGCCTAAATGGCCCTCCTCCACATCCGCCCAGCTGGAAGATCTCAACACGCTACAGGAAGAGCCTTTCTGGACCCATTACATCACAGATTTCAGTACGAAGGTTAGGAAACGAGAAAGCACTGGGTGCATTCGTGGTCAGTAGGTTAGGTTTACAACTGTTTGGTGTTTGTTCTTACAGGTTGCTGCTTAGTTTGTGCCGTTTGACACTTGGATTCAGTTTCCCCCAGGTTTTTACTGTCATTTCTCCCAAAGGTTTTATTGAAAATAATAATAAGCCTATGGAAAAGTTGAAAGCACATCTCATATTTTTCATTAGCTTATCTTCTGATTATCAAAGATGCCACCATTAGGGGAACCTAGGTTTCTGGAAACCCAACTCTCTATACTGTTTCTCCAATTTCTGTGTAACAATCTAAAGTCATTTCAAAATGATTTTCTTCTTGGATCTGGGAGATGGTTCCTTCCATCACAGTGTTTGCACACAGCATGAAACCCTGAGTTTGGATCCAAAGCGTAAAAGCTGGGGTAGCAGCAGGGCAGGAGTGTGATCCCAGCACTGGGGTAGCGGCAGGGCAGGAGTGTGATCCCAGCACTGGGGTTCGCAGTCAGCCTAGCCAGACTAGCTCCAGGTTCATCGTCTCAAAAAATAACATGGAAACTGACTGAGGAAGACCCCCGTGTCACCTTAGCCTCCATGCATACACACATGACATGTCTACACACACAGTGTGAGCGCACACATTTTTCTTAAAGTACTAGTTTTCCTGTATTCCTTTACCACATTTTCTTTCCTCCTGAACTGAGGACTAAAGCCAGGGCTTTGTGCTTGCTAGGCAAGCACTGAGATAAATTCTCAACTCCCACTTAGCACATTTTGTAGAGCTCCTATGTCCTGTCAGATACAGTTATTGGCTCTAAGAATATGCTAGTGACCAAACTGGCCAAAATATCCTGCTCCCATGGACCTTGCATTTCACCAGAGGGGACCAGAAAGTATTTGTCTGTCCTATTAGGTAGTGTAGCTGTGAGGGAGAGCAAGCAGAGGTGAATAGCAAGAATGTAGAGAGGTATTGAGATTTGCATGTGATGACCATAATAAGCCAATGCCTTAATGAAAAAGGGACAGTTTAGGAATGAGCTGAAAGAAATGAAAATTAAACTATGCAGGCATCTAGATACAAGGCCTTCATAGACTTTGCTTTTTCCTGAAATTAATAACAAAGGACCTGAAGAAGCTGTGGGCTTGCAGTGTTTCAGGAATGGCGATGAGACTTGTGTGGTGGGTGGTGACGGCCAGCAGGTAGGATAAGGGAGGCGCACTGGGGAACCATCTGATGCACGAGCCAGGCCTTCAGTCTGGACGTCATATTTTTATGGACAGCATATGGATGAACTCAAGTTAAGTGGTGAAGCCAGCAGTGGAGAGAGAATAGAGAAATGCCTGTGCACCTGGAGTACCTTACATTTCAAACTGGGAGATCTGACAGTTAATCAGTTGGAGAAACAGAAATGAAAGCTTCCTTCTTTGAGGATTAAGTCCTGTGTTAGTGTGTGAAATTCTCCATATACTGACTCATATGTGTTTTTCAATATATCTTCATACTTTTTTCCTTTTGGTTCTGCTCTCTTTCTCTTTTTCTCTATGTGTCTCCCTCTCTCTATGTCTCTTTCGCTGTGTGTGTCTCTTTTTCTCTATGTGTCTCCCTCTCTCTATGTCTCTTTCGCTCTATGTGTGTGTGTGTGTGTGTGTGTGTGTGTGTGTGTGTGCGCGCGCGCGCGTGCGCACGCGCGCGCACAGGGAATAAACCCAAGGCCTTACAGATGCTGGGCACATGCGTTCCATTCCTCATCCTCCATTCCTGGAAGCACTTTTCTCCTATTGCACATGTCTGACTTACTTCTTTATTTCAGACTTTAAGATTCAGCTCACCTATAACTCCCTCAGTTGTCTACCAGATAGTTTAGTTCCCTCTGCTGTGTCCCTTGCCCCATTCCCCACATAGAGCAAGCATCACGCAGTCCACCTCATTGCCTTGCTCCTGTCGTTGCATGTGAACTTGGATTCATCATCTGGGTCTAAATCGCTTATTAATATATCTCTGCAGCTGGTTACTGTACAGCCCTTGGGGATCTGTGTTTTACTCATTGCTTAATATCTCACACAAAATACTTAATATTTGGTTGGAACTTAAATAATATTTATTCAATAAATTTGAAAACTAAAACCAATAAGCTAGCCAAAATAGAGAAGAAGCTTATATAGGATTGGCCTTTGTGATGTGTTTAAAGCTGATTGTAGAGCAGAGTTTCATGAGAGATGATGTCTGGGCTTCAGAGGAAGTGAGGAGTGTGCCGGGAGGCCAGTGCTCACCATCAGTCCTAGGAACAGAGGACTCTCTAGATGCAGTGGCTGGAGTTGTTTCTTTTCCTGTACTTTTTATTGAAAAACTGTCTTGTAAACATAGATTGTTTCACCAGGCAGGTAGAAGCAAATAGAGTGGATTCATTATTTGAAAATTTATTTGTATAACATTTTTGGAATATTTGATTGCCTTGTCTTTTTTTTAAAAAAAAAAAAATACCCCAACCTGTCTGTCAGGTGTTGGAATTCCTCAGCTACGCAGACAGTTTCAAAATCAAGATTTCCATACTGGGTTCTCGCCTTCCCATGAGTCACAGAGCTGTTGCTTAACCTCCCAGAAGCACGGCTGGGCAATAGAAGGGTGGAGGCAGATTGAAAACCCAAAAGATTTTAAGGAATTTAAGGAGTAGAATCTAAAAAAGGTGTTAGTAGGAGTGAGGTTTCTTGGTTTATAAGTACACTAAATGAACGCATGAGAATTGAGTCACACTTTTAAATATTTTGTAAATTTTGCTCAGTATTAAAACATTTTTTCTTTGGCGTAACCATGTATATTTTCAAGGAGACACAAATACGCCCTCTTTGTTTTCAATGGGTCCAGATGAACTCCTTGTCAAATGCAAGCGACACTTGGCCAGTCAGGTGAAAGTGTTCAAAGGAGAGGCTCTACTCCTTTTCTGCTGGGCATTGGCCTCTATGTAGTATTCTTCATTTTCAAAGTGTGCTAAGATCTGACTAAAGTTCACGTTAGAAATATATTTTCATTTTCTCAAATGAAGCTTTAGACATGTGTTTCTAATAATTCACTGAAAATATGCTGAATTGTATATTTTTAAAGAGAATCTGTTTTGAAAAAATTCCAAAATATTTGTTTGAACAGGCACTCAACATCTCGATGAAAATGGTTGGAAAAGAAAAACTTTCAAAGTCATTCTGTTCTCAGAGTACCCGAGCCAACTAAACTGGTACAGTTAACGCTTCAGTCAGAGGCAGGAGCCAAGACATCTAGCACATTCCAGACTGCTTTTCAGCAGGCCTTCAATCCAACCCCGTGGCTGATATTAATGCCATTGAATTTCAGAGTAAAAAGCTACAAGAATAACATCTATACCTATTTTTACCAATGTTAGACCTTTTTAGTAGCCTAAGTATCTGTTTTAAGTTAACATTCTTGAATTTTATTAGCACTGATTCTGCAGGAATGTCCTGTGGTGTATGAGCTTCCCAATGTAGCATCACCCAGGTGTGTGTGTGTGTGTGTGTGTGTGTGTGTGTGAGAGAGAGAGAGAGAGAGAGAGAGAGAGAGAGAGAGAGAGAGAGAGAGAGAAGAGAGAGAGAGAGAGAGAGAGAGAGAGAGAGAAGAGAGAGAGAAAGAGAAAGAGAAAGAGAAAGAGAAAGAGAAAGAGAAAGAGAAAGAGAGGAGTTAGAGAAGTCGATGCTGAACGTCTTTCTCCGTTGCACTCTGCCTAAGGTTTCTCATTGAACCTGGAGCTCATCAGTTTCCCTAGATTGACTAGCCAATGAGCTCCAGTGATTTACCTGTTTCTCCCTCAACCCCCACCCCCAGAACTGGGCTTAAATATGTGTGCCTCTGTGCTTGTCTGAGCGCTGGAGATCTAAATTCAGTTCCTCATGCTTACTCAGCAAGCGCTTTACTCACTGAACCATTGCTCTAGCCCCAGATATCTATAGTTTTATTTTACATTGCCCTTTAAGTATCACTGAAGGTCACAGTGGAAATAGAAATAATATATATCACATCATAACACTTTTGAGAGAGTGGTGGTTATATTGGGTTATAGTAGGCAAATGTATAAGTAGGGATTGTTTGTTTAGCCTCTTACCCATTTATTTTCACAATATCCCTTTAAAATTTATTGATAGCACTTAATGCCTTTGCCAGTATGTTTGCTATATAATATGTCATGTTGATCTCTCTGCCCATGTATCTGCTTTTATAAATGTTCTAGTTACTATCCATTAAATTGACTAGTTGATATCTTTATTTGGATGTTGTCATGGAGAATAAGTAACAAGTGACTCAAAGGTTCTGCATGTCAGTTAGAAACAGAAAACTAAACTCAACACCTACCATATCACAGGGTTTGTTAGAAAAATAGCAGAAATAAAAGTTTCATTCACTGGATTTTCAGTCGCACCCCACAAGGTTTAGATCAGCAGTTTCCCAAGTCGCTCACCAACCCCAGTGTCATAAGCTTCTCTCAGAACTGGGAGTTTAAAGGAGCCTGTGAGACCAGGGTTGCCACTTGGCAACTTGGGGTTCGGTTTTCATTATTCTTGCCAGTGTGTCGTGTGAAAGAGCAGCAGCCACAGTTCAGGACATGGTGTTACTTCCACTGCGGAGGGTCTGAGAATTGGCGGAGGAACGCAGCGCTCCATGCGGTTCTGCCTTGTCTTGCCATGGACTGTTTATTACTGAAAACTTAGAAGGCAAGTGAGGGAGTTTCAGAAAGACACTAAGGGGCTGACTGGAGATGCTGACCGAAAGCCAGAAACTGCAGTTCATCGGGACATAGTTGGGGAGGATACAAACACGTACAAAATAGGTATCAGAGTATGTTAGCAAGATCCAGGAAAAGGAGGTGAGGCAGACTCTGGTGCTGTGATGCACCTTTGAGCCACTTTGGAAGGTCACACACAGAGAGGTTGGCTAGGACAGGAGCTGAGAAGCAGGAATTTTGTTTGTCAAAGGAAGTAACTTTGGCTTATAGAGGAAGGAGCGGAGACTCTTCAGTAAAGGGGCCTTTTTGTCTGTAATTTCTCTGATTTAGTGCCAGAAGTATTTTAAAAAGACAAATCAAAGCTGTTTCTATCTAAGTTACACTGTGGGAGACCAACAGCTGATACGTTTTGTTTTTCTTTGCTATATTTCTCATTAATGATTCTTAAGTTTTTTTCTGTTCTCTCGACTCTGTTGCTAAATCCCTTAAGATTCAAGAGTGTTTAAAGTAAAAGCATTATAAGACAAACGTTGTATTCTGTGGGTAGGATGATAATACTTCTTTTGTGACATTCTCTTTCCCCACCAAAAGTGAGAAGTGAATGCCTTGCCTTTGTGCATCTCATTTCAAATGGAGGACAAGAAGTTATTCTCTGCAATGGCTGACTTCCAGAATTTTTGCCTGAATGTTTTTTGTCAAGTATATATTCCCTTCTTTAGGCCTTTCTATATAGAGCCTACAAACATCGTCAATGTGAATGATGTCATTCAGAGGGTTAGTGACCATGCCTCTGCTATGAACAAGCGGATACATTACTACAGCCGGCTCACCACTCCTGCAGACAAGGCACTGGTAAGAGGCAAAGCTCTGCTGCTTGTCCAAAGTTGAGTTGAAGTGAACAGTAAACACCAAAGCCGAGGGCAACTCCCAGGGGTTGAACTTTTCGCTGGGGGTATTCCAAAGATAGCATCGTGCAAAGTCTAAGTAGTAGTTAATCCGTGTTTCAGGCTCCTTCATGCTTATCTACCCTGGCATAGACGTGTTTGAAACTCTCTGTTGATAATAGCTTGGAGCGCTTTTTCTTTGTTTTTAATTTCTGCTTATCTCAGATGCCAAGAGCTCTGAGGAAGATAAATTTCTTTTGAAACAGCAGCTTAGATCATTGACTAAAAACATAAGATTTGGCTAGTCTGTTTGGTTTCTAAGTTTGAAGCTACAAGGAAAAATATTTACGTACATTTTCTATAGGAGTTAGAAACAAATCTGCTCATATATATGCCCGATAGTTTTCTGTTTAGCATCTTTTTTCACAAATAAAAACTTAGCCTATGCAGACCACATGCTATTACAGGTCATTGTTTTGTCTTATAAACATTGAAAACAATTCTTAGGAAAGGGCTGTAAATACAATAATGGTAATTTGCATTAGGGGCCATAGCTTATAGAGTCATGGTTGTCGGAAGTCTGTCTTATTATTTTAGAATTTAAAAATATGTAATTAATCTGTTGCATATAACAGTGACCAGATGTGAGATACTGAGAAATTTAAAAGCTTAAAAAATATGGTAAAAGTCAATCATAGCAAAAATGAAGAAAACAATTGGCCTCTAGCCTTCACTAAATGTTTACCAAGAGCAAGGAGTGGGTACCACCTGACCATGGCCTTTCATTTAACCCCCACAATGGCTGTGTGAAGTCAGCATTAAGATCTTGTCTTTTGTTTGTTTGGCTAGCATCTCACGAAGTCCAGGCTGACCTCCAACTCTACATATCTGAGAGTGACCTTGAGCTCCTTCCCTTCTCTCTTTGTTTTCCAGCCATGAACTACCATACCTGGCTCTAAAATCTCAAAAAGACTTCTGAAATGTTATGTGCAGAATAATTTTTTACAATTTTTATTTTTTTATTCCCCCTCTGCCCGCCCAGGACTTTACAGTGGAGTCCATTATAGAATTACCTAAATCTGTATGGGATTTGAGGTTATGGTCTGACAGTCTCTCCAAATGCTTTTCTCTTAGACTCAGACTTCAGAGATATCTAGGGCTGAGTGAATATCACTTGCCTGGAAATTAAGTCAATGCTATGCATCGTATCCCTTTGTTAACTGACACTGAGGTGACTGACTTTAGTACATCTAAATGGTCACCAAAGTTAATGTGATCGATCCATTTCTAATGAATTTGTATAAATAAATGTTCATTTTCTGAAAATCCCAAAGTCATTTTCCCTAAAAGTATGTTTTGGAGAAGAACAGTAAATCATTGTTACCAAATGTTCATAGAGTAAAACCTTTTCATTTATGAAAAAATCCCATTATTGTTACTCTAAACTGGAGAGGGGAGAAAGTTTTCTGCCAGCCTCTCCTAGATCCTTGCTAATAAACACATGTGTGTGTATATATATATATATATATATATATATATATATACATACATACATATATACAGATTAGCATCGTCAGCGTCACTGAGAGCTTACTAAAAAGATATCCATTGTGTGGGGCTTAGTCAGAGCCAGTGAAGCATAGTCCGTATGTCAGCAAGATCCTTGTGTGTGTCCTAGGAACATTCACATGACAATACCACCCTAGACCACTGCCACAGTGAGATCTAGCCCTCTGTTTTCCCATGCCTCCTAAGAACACCCCATCTTCCACGTCTTCCCATGCATAACCCAGACCCAGAAACTAAGCCCAGGGCACAGGTTTAGGTGAGGTGGACATGGAGTAGGTTTTTCCTTCCCTTTTGTGTACATCAGTGTGGACACACAACCAGAACTTTCTACCTATTGTTGAACCGTGCTCCTTATAAGTTTTGGGTTTACTTGTTTTTCCCACCCATTTGCTTTGTGAGCTCGAGCGTTTTTCCTTCTTGATATGGCATAGTATTACGCTTTATTTTCCTTTTTACTCATGGCAGGAGACAAGCTGATCTAGATCTTAGAGGAGAAGAAAAAGAGCAGTTTTCACGTGCACGTCTGCCTGTGTCTCTAGGAACTAGTTGTTTCTGAAGCCACCCCATGCATAGCATCCAGGATATTCTCTCCTACAGAGACAGCCCTATCTCGCTGCATTGAAAGAGAAGGATGTGACATTGTGTGCTGATAATCTGTGTATGCCCTTTCTTCCTACTAAGGCTGATACTCCATCTCGTCCTTGAAGTCTTCCCCCGGCTATTTCAGTTGTCATTGTTTATCCAGTGAGATAGTCCAGCGCAGAGTTGAATGCTTCATTTTGTCATGCCTTCCAGTCTTGTCCAGTTGCTTCACATGTCCAACTGGAATTTGAGACAGTTTGAGGCTCTTACTTCCCTCTCAAATAAGAAACATGGAACAAAGTTACAAATGCCTATGGAGGTGTTATGTGTGAGAAGGTGCACACCAGTTCACACTTGTCAGGTTCCATGCCTTTGAGGACTTCCTCTTCTCTAAGAAACGCCTTCAGGAGATGGGCAGTTTCATCAGAAAACAGGGTGGGTTTCCCCTCCAGAACAGGAAGGTGGGTTGGAGGAACTGTGGGAGTAGTGGGAAAAGTAAGTGTGTAGGTGCATCCCTTCCGGCTTCCTCGCTACACCTGCTGCTTCTCTGTCGCCCCCTTTCCTTTTGCTTGCACACTTCAGTGTCCTCAGCTCCTAAAAGCCTTGTTTTGCCATTCATTAAGTTACTTTTTTACCTGTTTCTTTTACTCAAAGCATTTAAAAATTAGTCTCTGTACTCTTTCTTTACTTACTCTCCATTGGCTCCTTAATTCCTTAGTCTGAAATTCCTCTCTGTTTCTTCTAAAACCACCTTCACCTCAGAGTTAAGTAACACCACCAAAGCTCCTCACTGAAGGGCGGCCTCCTCTGTGGAGATTTCTTTCATTTTGTTCTTTGCTTCCTTCTTTCTTGTGAATGTGAAAAGTACTTTGATGATATACATTCTTGCTCCTTTAGATCTACCACTATATTTGAAAAAAATAACTTTAAATTCCTTAATCAAGGATGCAGAGTGTTCAATGCCCATGATACTTAGAAATATGTCTAAAATGTGTCTTAAAGATATGCATGCTGGAGGGTTTTTATAATCCCAACACTCACGAATCAAAAACAGGAGAGGAGGATCACACATTTGAGACAGGGAGCGAGGGCAAAAGCCCAGATGTGCAATAGCCAAGCATCTCCCTGGCATCTGCCTAAGAGCAGCCCATCAGCCAGAGCCTCCCAGCTGTTTCAGTTCAGCATAAATCCTAGAAGTGTGTCGAGTCCGTTTCTTTGATCAGTAGAATGCATCCTTTTTATACATTTACTGGTTCTGATGTTTCTCTTTTCTTTTCCCCAAGATTGCTCCAGACCACGTAGTCCCAGCTCCAGAGGAATACTATGTGTACAGTCCATTGGGCTCTGCCTATAAACTCCAGAGTTACACTGAAGGCTATGGTAAAAACACCAGCTTAGTAACGATGTGAGTGCAGCTACTTCTTGGAGCATGGAATTAACTTGTATATGAATGAAAGTAACTGGTTAATTAGTTCTGACTTACTTAAAATGTTTGAGAAGCCCACCTTCATGTTTTATTGCTATTATTCTTTCAGTTTTATGATCTGGAATACCATGATGGGAACATCTATACTAAGTATTCCTTGGGGCATAAAACAGGTAATATGATTTTACATTTTAATCTGAAAATTTTTTAAGATTTATTAATTTTTTATTGTGTATATGTGTCAGTCTGTGTGTGGGTATGTGCATATAACTGTCTGTGTCCATGGAGGTCAGTGGTGTTGGATCCCCCTATAGCTGGAGTTACAGACAGTTGTGAGCCACTTGGCGTCGGTGCTGGGAACCAGGCTCCAGCGCCCTGAAAGGCTGGTTTGCATCCTTAACTGCTGAGCCATCTCTCCAACCCCTGAAATTTTTTCTATATATGTAATCCAGACACTTAGACCAAGGCAACAGGATCATGAGTTCAAGACCAGTTTGGGCTACATAGCAAATTTTAAGCCATCGTATTTGTATTCCATATTGTTTCCAAAATAGATAAATAACTTAATTAAATAATAACTTCGAAATTTTTTAAAAAAAATATTTATTTATTTATTATGTATACAATATTCTGTCTGTGTGTATGTCTGCAGGCCAGAAGAGGGCACCAGACCTCATTACAGATGGTTGTGAGCCACCATGTGGTTGCCGGGAATTGAACTCAGGACCTTTGGAAGAGCAGGCAATGCTCTTAACCACTGAGCCATCTCTCCAGCCCCGTCGAAATTTTTTACTTTTTTTTTTTTTTTTTTTTGGGACTGGGAATATAGCTCAGTGATAATGTGCTTTCCTAGCGTACATGAGGTGCTGTGTTCAAATACTAACACTGTAAAAAAAGACCACTATATTTGAAGTTTATTTATATAAAATTCTCTATAAAAAGCAGATGTTCTTTTCATTTCTCCATTATCATGTTATTATCATAATTGTTTAGGGTAACAATGTAATTGCATATGAAGCTTTCTTACATAATGAAAGGAACCTAACTTTTTCCCAAAGGCTGGATTTACTACTGGAATGTGTGTCATCGTGCTGATGGGCCTCCTGACACTTTATTGCTGCTATAGAGTGGTGAAATCACGGAGTATGATATGTAAGTAACGATGCGTCACCCCAGGAATCAACAAGCTTTCCTGTCGAGGCAGATCCTACTGTGTATTCTACATGTGTGTCAGCTGTCTCCTTTCACTTTCTATCTCTGTGTGTGTGCATGTGCCACAGTGCCCACATGGAGCTTAAAGGACAGCTTGAAGGTGTCAGTTTTCTTCTCCCACCATGAATTCTCTGGGATTGAATTCAGAGTTTCAGTGTTGGCGGCAGCTCCCTAACCTCCGGAGCCATCTTGCACGCCCCAGCTTTCTTTACTCTTGTAATTTGTAGTTTTCTGCTGACCAGTCTGTTCATGAATCTCTGGCTCCCTCTGAAATTCAGAACTGGGAGTTCTTTGGAGTAAATTAATGCTGATGTCCTTGTAAAAATAATGAAGACGTCGCTTACAACAACGATTACATTTTTGTGTTCGTGAGTGCATATGGGCATCAGGAGACTACTTGGTGGAGACAGTTTTCTCTTCTTACACCATGGGGTACTGAAGATTAAACTCAGGTTCTCAAGCTTGGTGCTTGTGCCTCTCCCTCTCCTTGGCCCCAAAATGAATGTTACGTATGTATATGTGTGTGTATATATGTGTGTGTGTGTGTGTGTTTGTTTGTTTGTTTTTGTTTTTCAAGACAGAGTTTCTCTGTAGCTTTGGAGCCTGTCCTGAAACTAGCTCTTGTAGACCAGGCTGTCCTCGAACTCACAGAGATCCACCTGCCTCTGCCTCCCGAGTGTTGGGATTAAAGGCGTACGCCACCAACGCCCAGCCAAAAAAAATGTTATATTTTTAAAATAAAACATTTGTCAGAATTATTAAGAACTCTATGGCTCTTACAAATTATTGTTTACTTGTTTTGACCTATTCATAGCAGACCGAAGTATCAGCAGAAAAATATGAAAGTATAAACAATTCTTAATACTTATCTGTATAAATTCTGGATCAGGGAATCAGGAGGATAATCTTTTTGTTGTTGTTTTTAAGCTTGAAGCGGGGTCTGGTTGGATTGCTAGGACTGGGTGCAGTCTTGAGAAATGATCTGTCATCCAGTCCGCCCCTCCTTCATTCTCCCAAGCAGCCAGGACAGTAGATGCTACTACACAGAAACACCTTTTAAATCGTTTCACAGACTTTAACCTGAGTATGGTGTGCCTATAATCTCAGAAGTCCCAGGTTATCCTCAGCTACATAACGAATTCAAGGCCAGACTAGACTACGTGAGACTCTGCCTCATTAAAAAAAAAAAGGCAAAACATAAACACTTTTAAGGCTTGGCAGACATGTATTTTTCATTCAGTCTCATTAGCGTGTCCAAACCAACCTCTGGTTTGCCTTAGTCACTTGAGGAGTATTGTTTAAAATCTTGTTTAAAAGCCATTCAAGTTCCAAGTTGAGTTTGTTTAGCCTTGGTTTCTGCGGTTTCGGGTCTGACTGAAACGGGAAGAGCTCTTTATACACATGCAGTAAGTATGGATCTTACATCAGCCTGTCTGCGCAGAGGGACATGGCCTCCCCTGCGCTCCCTCTGACTGTCGCTGGGAAGGTCTGTCTGGGTAAGGCCTGTGTTTCTTCACTGCTCTCATTTAAAAGGGTGACCTTGGATCAATTCATTTTACAAAGTCAGCCCAACCCTAAAGCAAAGCCTAATAGGACAGAAAGAAAAGAAAAGAAAAGAAAAGAAGGAAGGAAGGAAGGAAGGAAGGAAGGAAGGAAGGAAGGAAGGAAGGAAGGAAGGAAGGAGAGAAAGAAAAAAAGAAATGAAATAGTTACAACCATTATTTGACAGAATCAGTGATGTACAAAAATAATAGCCTGTGTTTAAAATAGGGTTTGTTCCAGTGAGACAAGATGGATATTCTATCAGGAAACCCGACACTATTCACTACACTAACAAGGTCAAATCCATGGGTGCATCAATAGATACACCCCCAAAAGGCATTTGATGGAGTTCAGCATCCTTTTCTTAGTAAAGCTCTAAGGAAAATACTACTTTTAAAAAATTAAAGACTGTTTATCCCCAAGCCAGGACCAACAGCATTCTATAGTGATAAAATCTGTAAAGCTGTAAACTCTAACGGTCTTAGATAAAATTTAGCAGAACACAATTGATGGGAGAAAAATACAAACGACCTGAACACAAGAACTAAATCTGCACAAGTTAAAAAAAAAATGTCGTGAGGTTTCAAAGATTCACGATTGTAAACCATAAAAAATCAACTCTATAAATTCAATCCCATTTCAAACACAGTCAAGAAAATTAGAAAAAAACCAGTGGTATGGAAGAATCAGACTTACCAGGTATTAAAACAAACTATAAAGCTATTATTATAAAGCAGAAAGCTACTGACTTAGAAATAGGAAAAAAATAGAGCGGAAGGGCCGCAAAGACGGCTAAGTGACTAAGTGGCTAAGTGCACTGGTTCCCTGCACCTACATGGCATCTCATAACTGTCTGTAACTCTAGTTCTTGGGGATCAAATGCCCTCTTCTAGCCTCAGGTACCCGGTACACACATGTAACACAGACATGCAAGCAAAGCATTCATACACATGAAATAAAAAAAAAATATCTTCATAAAAACTAGACTGGAAATGGAAACGTAAATTTCAAGTTTATGATCTTAGTATATCCTGTTTGGTATCTGTTAAACTAAGCATCAATTGGGAGGGAACCCTTGTATAAAAATATATTCCAGATGATATTCAGACTAAAATGTGAAAAAAAATCAAGCCTTAAAGATATTAGAAGAAAATTTAAGAGTTCACGCACATAAACTAGTGATTGAGATTTTCCTGATCAATACGGATATAAAAACTTTAAAAGGAATATATCACAAAGTTCTAGGGCATTACCAGAAATCATCCTGGCAGGTAGTCAAGAGGACATTTGAAAAAGCCACATGCTCCAAGGTGGAGTCCACCCCAAAGTAATTCATAGAGAAACAAATCCGTGAATATCACGTATAAAAGTTACAGCGACACTCTCCCCCCCACATTAGTGATGTGATTGCTAATCAAGGAGATGGCTATCACCCATCATTCATGAAGAACTTCTCTGTGCTGGGGCTATAAATTAGCTTGTTATCTATCCTTCAAAGTTCATTCTTAATTGGACGTTCATAGACTAGAATGTCTTTCCTTTCTTTGTAGTTGTTTCTTTTTATTCTAGCACCCCAATGTCTGTACAATTACTATTAGACTAGAAAATACACATTGGACAAGATTTGAGGGCCATAATACACACAGCAAGACAGATAGACAATCACACTGTATACCCCCTCAGGAAACTAGTTGCGTATTTGGCACAATGGCCAATTTTTTTAACTTTTTTTTTTTTGAGAAAAGGAAAAAAAAGTTTCCGCCTCCTCCCAGCCTCCCATTTCCCTCCCACTCCTCCCACCCTACTCCCCCTCCCCCCACTCCTCTCCCCCTCCCTCTCCAGTCCAAATAGCAGACAGGGTTCCCTGCCCTGTGGAAAGTCCAAGGTCCTCCCCCCTCCGTCCATGTCTAGGAAGGTGAACATCCAAACTGGCTAGGC